AAATAAAGTTGTACTGTTATTGGTACTTTAAGTAAAGTTGTACTGTTATTGGTACGTTAAGTAAAGTTGTACTGTTATTGGTACGTTAAGTTAATGTACATTACGAAATATATATTTTTTACCTGAAGTTAATGTTTTAACAAGACGCTTTTTGACTGGACTTTAATAAAAGCTCCAGAAATAATTAATGTAACAATTTACGAGACATGGAAATGAAAGTAAGCATGTTGTAGCGTCGTTCATTTAGTTTTTTGTCGTTAATCTCAATCTTCGTTAATTTGTTCTGTAGAGACTTAGTGGGCGATCTTAGAGCTGAGAACCCATAACATTAACCAGAGTAGTGGGCGATCTTAAAGATGAGAAGCCATAATATTAATCAGACTAGAATGTAATCATGGAGCTAAGAATCCATAATATCAACTGGACTAGCTGGTGATCTTGAAGTTAATCGTATCATTTCAGTTTTCGTTAGTTTCTAGTTAAGACCATCATTCCAAACGTTGATATTCAGATGATGAGTGCAGTAGTGACCAATGTTTTAGTGCTGGTCGGGGCGTTGCTGCTGGAGACAACATTAATAGATGCAGGTAAGTTTTCTATCTAGTATGCTAATATAATATATATATATATAATTTCACGGAAAATAATGGGTTCGTAGAGAAATAAAAGAAATATATTGTAACTCTAACACAGAACCAACGCACACCCACCTGAAGACGTAAAATACTGCTGGTTACGTATCTTTAAAAATATTACACAAAATATTATCCGGTAGCTCAAGATGTAAAACACTACTAGCATCTTTTATCTCAAGATGTAAAACACTACCAGTGTCCTGTACCTCGAGACGTACAACACTATTAGCGTCTTCTATTTAAAGATGTAAAGCAATACTAGTACTTTCTAGCTCAATATAAAGCACTATTAGTATCTCATAGTTCAAGATGTAAAATACTGTTACGACAGCGGAGGTCACGTGACGCTAGTAACACGTCATATTCTCGAAGGTTCGTGAATCCTCGAGTGTTTACTAGATTTGCGGTATTCTTGTACATATAAAACCGCCAAGAAGTGACGGCAACAATGTAATTGAATTGCAGACAGAGATAGATACGGACAGTTGGATCGAGCGCGTGTGTCTTTCGTTGTGAATTATAGCGTTTGTTATAGCGTGACTGTAGAAATTAAGTGTATTCAGAAAGAATAAACTAGTTTTATTTAAGAAAGGACTTGTATCGCTAAAGTTTCCTCGGAAAGAATTTTTACGGAAAATTAACAAACTAAAGACCAGAGACGTAACAACACTACTAGTATCCTGTAGCTCAAGATATAAGGCACTACTAGTATCTTGTGGCTCAAGATGTACAACAACTACTAGCGTCTTCTATCTAAAGATCAAAACACTACTAGTAGTATCTTTTATTTCAAGATTTAAGACACTATTAGAAACCTGTAGCTCAAGATGTACAACACTATTAGCGTCTTCTATCTAAAGATGTAAAACACTACTAGTATCTTTTATCTCAATATTTAACGTACTACTAGAATCCTGTAGCTCAAGATGTACAACTACTACTAGCGTTTTCTATCTAATGATCAAAACACTACTAGTAGTATATTTTATCTCAATATTTAACGTACTACTAGTATCCTGTAGCTCAAGATGTAAAACACTACTTGCATCTTCTATCTAAAGATGTAAAACATTACTAGTATCTTTTATCTCAAGATTTAAGGCACTACTAGTATCCTGTAGCTCAAGATGTACAACTAATAATAGCGTCTTCTATCTAAAGATGTAAAACACTACTAGTATCTTTTATCTCAAGATTTAACGTACTACTAGAATCCTGTAGCTCAAGATGTATAACACTAATAGCGTCTTCTATCTAAAGATGTAAAACACTACTAGTATATTTTATCTCAAGATTTAAGGCACTACTAGAATCCTGTAGCTTAAGATGTACAACACTATTAGCATCTATCTAAAGATGTAAAACACTGCTAGTATCCTCTAGCTCAATATGTAAACACTATTGATACCATGTCTTGTGAAATTCACAACAGCCAACATCCTCAGACTCAAGGCACTTTCATTAATTTTTTTTTCTTTCTTATAGTTAGAAAATGAGTTGTGATTGTGGTATGGTTATTACCAACCACATGTTATGTCACATTATACATATTAGCATATATCAAATAGAGAAACATGTTTTGTTTTGTGGAAGCATATAATTACACAGGTAACAATTTATTTTTAAGAACTTAATGAAAAAGCTGCAAATTATTATATTAATAAGAGTATATTAACTGCTTGGGGAAGAGAGTAGGGAAAACTTGGAATCAAAAGAAATCACCAATAATTGTAAATGTTAAGAAAAAAAATCTATTTAAACCAGCCACAGTCTGAGTAACACAGATATAACACTTTTGGTTTTTATTATATGTGTAACCTATATCACTTTTCTTTTTTAGATTCAAATGACTGTATCATTTACGATGTGTTGGCTGAAAATACACACGTCACTCATGATGGAGAAACAATATTGAAATGCATGTCGCTGTGTAATGAAGAACCAATCATTAAATGGTATGTGGGTAAAGAAGAGAAACAATCAAAAAAGGGCACAGCAGAAGGTTTTAGAGATGCAAAAATCTACGAGCAAAACTTGACAGCAACAATGCTAAACAAAGGAACCGAATTTATTTGTTCAGTTGAATGTGGTACAGAATTACTCAATGAAACAATCACAGTTTATGTTGGTGAGTTAAATTTGGTAAAGATTATTGGGTAGTAAAACAGTCACAGCTTATGTTGGTGAGTTAAGTTTGGTAAAGAATATTGGATAGTAAAACAGTCACAGTTTATGTTGATGAGCTAAATTTGGTAAAGAATATTGGGTAGTAAAACAGTCACAGTTTATGTTGGTGAGTTAAATTTGGTGAAGAATATTGGGTAGTAAAACAGTCACAGTTTATGTTGGTGAGTTAAATTTGGTGAAGAATATTGAGTAGTAAAACAGTCACAGTTTATGTTGGCGAGTTAAATTTGGTAAAGATTATTGGTAGTAAAACAGTCAATTTATGTTGATGAGTTAAATTTGGTAAAGAATATTGGGTAGTAAAACAGTCACAGCTTATGTTGGTGAGCTAAATTTGGTAAAGAATATTGGATAGTAAAACAGTCACAGCTTATGTTGGTGAGCTAAATTTGGTAAAGAATATTGGGTAGTAAAACAGTCACAGTTTATGTTGGTGAGTTATATTTGGTAAAGAATATTGGGTAGTAAAACAGTCACAGCTTATGTTGATGAGTTAAATTTGGTAAAGAATATTGGGTAGTAAAACAGTCACAGCTTATGTTGGTGAGCTAAATTTGGTAAAGAATATTGGATAGTAAAACAGTCACAGCTTATGTTGGTGAGCTAAATTTGGTAAAGAATATTGGGTAGTAAAACAGAAAGATGTTGTTTTAACCTGTAATTGTTACAACAGGGAAAATAATTTTTTCATTTTGGTTTTATTCCAGGAGACCCTCCAATGATTGAAACAGTTATTCCTCCTGTACAGAGAATTTTCAAAGGTAGAGACACAAATATTGAGTGTAAAGGTCACAGCAAGGAATATACACGTGTGATATGGATGAAGGATGGGTACAAAATCCCCCCCGTTAAAACAAACTATCAATCAGGAACATTCACGAGTTTACTTCAAGTGATCAATGTTACACATGATGTTGTGTACACCTGTAAAGCACACAATATATATGGAATTACAGAGAGAACTGCAGAAATAAGACTAGGTTGGTTTTCATTTCATAAGGTATATTTCTTTTACGGTAATGTATGGAGAGAGTCACTTTTGATATGTGTAAAACATTTACAATAAGACATGTTTCTTCATATGCTTTTCAAAGATTTTCTCTGAAGATGACAAGGTGCTTTGGATATAGTTATGGATTTTTTTTTAAATTATCATTTCTAAATATTGTGTAGTAAATCAGTTACAATTAACAGTGGTGAGTTAAATGTGGTATAGGATAACTCAGTTAAATAGCCAGTTTATATAAGTGAATCGATTGTGGTACAGAATCACTCAGAGGAAACAGCAAGTTGATATACATGAATTACATCAGTGAATTGAATGTGGTACAGAATCACTCATGGAAAGAATGTGTCATTATGCACACATTAGGTAACCAACTAGGGTTCAGGTATAGCAGTTTCTAATTTTTAGCTACTAACCAGATTGTCGTACAGAATCACTCAGAGGAAAGAGCAAGTTGATATATATGAATTACATCAGTGAATTGAATGTGGTACAGAATCACTCATGGAAAGAATGTGTCATTACGCACACATCAGGTAACCAACTAGGGTTCAGGTATAGCAGTTTCTAATTTTTAGCTACTAACCAGATGGAAGTCAGTGTTCAGCAGAACCTGCTACTACATAGGCTTTTACCAGATTAACTGTTACTTTTTTAATGCATACACATTTACAGTCGATAAAAACTCTTTCCATGAATGAATTATCTGCTCTAAATGTTTCTAAACCAATATTTTCAAAACAATATATGTCTTAGGATGCAGGTCAATTTAAGAGTTTAGGTCTGATTAGTCCTATCTAATACCTTTTACCATTAGTGAATAACGTACTCCATTATAAACATATATATCTTCTATTATAATAGAATCAGATGTAACAATCCATTGTTATTTAGGTCAGCCCCCTGTCATTCTTGAAATGAAGACAAACAGCAGTCTCCCCATACTTACTGGTGAAAGTGTTATGGTGACTTGTCTTATCCAGTTTGATGGTAACATCTCAGTGATGTGGCTGGAAGACAAGGAAGAAGTTAGCACCACTGAAGATTCTGTTGACACCCTGACTGAAAAGGAATTTCACTTTACTTATGATTCTGTCCTGAAGACTTTTAATGCATCATGTCATGCTATAAACACGTTTGGCACTATTACAAAGTCCCTGGAACTCGAAACAAGTAAATATATCGTCTGCTAAATTTTTTACTATTTTAGGGTACTTATAGTGCTGTTGAAAATACCACTTATTAGTGTTCTACACCATTATATGTACCTCTCATCAATGTTCCATACCATTATATTATATCTACCAGTGGTTAGTGTTACATACCATTATATCTACCAGTGGTTAGTGTTACATACCATTATATCTACATGTCATCATTGTTCCATACTATTATATCTACATGTCATCAGTGTTCCATGCCATTATATCTACATGTCATTAGTGTTCCTGTAGAACACTGACGACATGTAGATATAATGTATGGAACACTAATGACATGTGGATATAATGGCATGATGACATGTAGATATAATGGATGTAGATATAATGGTGTAGAACACTGTCATCAGTGTTCCATA